GCGAGTCAAAAAATAAATATAACACGAAAAATGAAAGTGGAGCAAGATTTGCGGCGGGAGACGCGATTTGGTCGGGAGTCACTTCTTTTCACTAGTTTTCTCTTTCTGCATTCCGGGCGCGTGGAGGAGAGGTTGATCGGCTTGGCATAACGTTGAGGTGGAGAGAGTGTATGACCATCTCATTGAGGTGGACAGAGTGTATGACCATCCCGTGACGTCATGGACATTGCGCGCAGAATTTAAAATAAATCTTGCGTCGTCAATATTACACAAAAAGAGCATTTTTTTGCTTAAAGTGAATTTTTCGACACGCGTGTCCCAATCAGACTCTTCAAAAAATTTTTTTAAACAATCTGGAAAGAAAAAAAAAATTATGTTCAGTGGCTTCGTAAGTTTTGATAGTCTTTATCAGACTATCAAGTATCAGAAGGTTTTGATAGACTTTATTGAAAGCTTTGGAAAAGTCCAAAATATTTAGGGAGCCTGTGATCTTAGGTTTAACATTGAGTGGCGATCATGAATGTGGGATAGAATTTGAGTTTCACATGAAAATTTCTTTTGAAACCATGTTGAGATGGGTTAAAAAGATGTTCCAAGAAACTGACAAGGTGGGAAATTATTATATGATGAAGAATTTTGCGGAAACCACTGGTAATGAAAATCACCCGATAATTGAGAGGGGAATGTTTGTCACCTGTTTTCTAAATGGGAGCCACTTTTGCTACTTTCCAATCAAAATGAAAAATGGACTCTTGCATAGATTGTTCACAAAGTGTGCATGTCTAGTATAACTAACGAATATATGTTAGTATTTTTATATTAGAATTTATACAATCCACTCCTGCAAAAGGAGATAACTTTAATCTATAACTATGACATTCAACCCCAACACAATATGGCAGAGTGGTCCATTCGCGAAAACTCAGAAGTGCGCAGTAATGGGCATTCTTGCCTATCATCACGTGACAAAGATTTAATAAAATCCGTTTTCAAAGCATTAACACTCGCAGTCAACGGCATACTAGTGCAGGTCTCAGGTTTTAGCACGACTGAAGAATTGGATCTGTTTACATAATATTCCAAAATTGTATGGGTTTGATAATAACATTTCCGGTAGTTTGTGCGTGAATAATAAACCTTTTCATTTTCAATGTCTTTTTTTGTATTTCTCAGCGTCTCTGCAATATTTTGTGCAACGTTGTTTACATGTTGTGAAGTTAGCAGCCCTAAAAATCGTTTATTTTTATTTGAGAGACGTTTGAAGGCTGTATTACACCACGGTGACTGGGAATTCTGAAAAATTGTCCTTACGGGAATGTACAGATTGCTTAGTGATTTGACTTTGTTTTGAAGCCACTGCCAATCTTGTTCAGCTAATCTGTGTGGGAACCCCACCACGAAATTATCTAGAAATGTTGCTAGTTTATTTTTAATATTCTCAAAGCCAGCTTTCGTATAATCTCAAATTAGTTTTGTGCGAGCGGATGGTTTGGGCACTGAAGCTTTAACATTGAAAGGCATAAAACAATAACCACTAAATCCTGGTAGATCTAAATTGGAGAAACAAGATGTGCATTATCTCACAAAACAAGATCCAAAACATTTTTGATGACGGGGTAACTCTCCGAGGTTCAGTGACTAATTGCATTAATTTTTAAGCAAAATTTAATAGAATTATTACATTCGGACGAATACGTGGCCGTAGATAGTATACTCCTTGTCCACACAATAGAAGGATAATTAAAGTCACCGAGAGAAATTATCCGAGAACTGGGAAATCTTCTAAATAAGGTACTTAATGAGTCATGCAGAGCTTTATTGAATGTGGACAAGCGAGGGGGTGATCGATAACAAACTCCCAAAATCTACGAACAAAACGTTAGGGCGCAAACGAGCTGGTAAAGGTTAACGTAATTTAGACACACCCCCGAAACTGAGGAAAGGCGAGAACAACACAACACACGAGACGAAAACGTGAAGGGGACGAAGCCTGCATTTTGCAGAATTACGGTGTGTTGTGTTGTATTTCGTCTTTGCCCAATCTCGAGGGTTTGTCTTAAATTATCCCCAAATTCCTTTGTTGCGGTTAGGACCAACACACATCCAAATTATTTCTAAACAGGTAGTCGTATTTATAAAAAAATACATGATTTGCGACTGCAATAATTACACAACCACCACTCCTATTCCATCTGTCGTTTCTCTAGACATTATACTTTATTAGTACGTCAAATAGTTCACGGTCACGCACCTTCACGCAAAACCAAGTTTCTGCCAAAAGAAAAACATCACCTTTAAAAAATCAAGAATTGAACACAATTCATCTCGGTTTTTTTACGAGGCATCTAATATTACAGAGAAGGACTGACACATTTTACATGGATACAACACAAGCAGTACACTTCGCGGTCTGTGATTCCGATCCCAACGCCTGAGATGGGTTACTAAAAGGAGAAAAATCTGTGCGTCTGCAACTACTGATGCTGTAGTGGGACCAGTTTCAACAATCGCATCGATCAACGGATCGTAAATGAAGCACTCATTGTTAAGTTACATTTTATGGTATCTAAGCTTCAAAACGGCATTTCCTACTTTCGCAAATTATAGTAGCTTGTTACTTGCGTGACGCGTACTGAGCGAAAATCTTCACTCTTGCTGACACCATTAGATTCTAGCAATGATCTCGAGAGTAACATATATTTTATATAGTTACAATGATGCAAACATAACCATAACAGGCATACACTTACTCCGAAAGTGAGTACCGATTTTGTGGGCACTTATAATCGCTTCATTCGTTACTTGGAGCTTTAGTGATCACCTAAATAAGTTTAATATCGTACCGTCTGTTTGTGGCCGGGTTTCAGATAGTGTATCAGCAATCCTGTAGAAAACTGAATTATCACAAGGGGAACGATCTTCTTTTAGGTGTCCGTAGATCCCAGCTAACTTTTTGAAGAACTTCAATCAAGCTTCGTGTCATGCAAACCTCTTTGTTAAGCATCGTCCAGGCAGAAGTTTTAGTTTGCACCTCAGCCAATCTCTCTTTATCATCAATTATGGTGGTTTTCATTGACTATTGTCTTTGTTTAACTTCATTAAGCGGCGTCACTGTTCCCAACTGAATCTCATCGTTTACAAGAGAGCGTTTACAGACTATTTTTAGCATATGATGCATTTCAATGTGTTTTTTTTTAAGTTCAGCTTTACTCATCGAACCGGGATTGGACTCACCGTCACCCAAAACCTTAAGGAGGACCATCATATAGTACCGTCACACATTGTTCTACAAAACTCATTTCAGCACGGTGACGCCAGTAAGCACAAATTGCTTCTTTTTTCGCGTTAAACACGAGACTTCAACGAGCCTGAACGAGCAAAAATGCGCAATGAGTAGTCTGCATGGCCTCGCAGATCCCGTGCTCACTCAAGGCTGGACAGCGATGACAGCCGTATATCTGGCGTTCGCAGACGGTGTCGTCGAAGTCGCTGATGTGGCCGTTGACGGCGCTCCAGTTGTTTCAAGGGATTTTTTCAGTAGTAGGTTACCCGGCAGATAAGTGGTGTCACCTCGGTGTCGATACGCCTCATCGTGAAGACTGAAGTTATCGTGATGCAAAGTTGTACTGTAAACACCGGGCAAAGGGACGAGGGCCGTAGACTAGAGGCTAGCAGTAACCTGAACTAACAAGAGGACGCAATGAGTGGTCTGCATGGTCTTGCAGATCTCGTCCTCACTGATATCAAAGCATTCGCATCGTTAAATTACATTTCGTTTAAAAAAAAAGAAAAGGACAAACAAAATGACTGAAGTTTGTGAGCAAATCTGTTGCCATATGGTAAACTTCGCCACGCGGTTTCAGAAATATGAAATTCTTCAGCAATTAGTGTCTCAGGACAGTAAACTACAATAGCGAACAAAATCTGGTGAGACCCGAGGTCAAATGCCTCGTGACTTCAAGAGAATATAAACGCTACCTGTGCCGCACTAAACCATTGCTTTGTGGCCGAAGTCACAGCTTGATTCAAGTAGATGCGTGTGGCTACTAATTAATGAACTATATGAAGAAAGTTACTTAAACAAAAAAAAATCCAGAAGAAAGTACACTTGGTATTATTATTTTACATTACCGCACATGCTTTAGGCACAGGAAAAATGTCAGTGCCTCAAGGCCAAATGTTCCGAAAAGCCTATTTTAGTGGTAGGCAAACTATGAAAGAAACTGATTTTCTTTCTCGCTCTCTCTCTCTTGAGATTAGATTCCAACGCGCATGGTTACATCACCGCTCAGATGAACCGCTTCATTACACAAAACCTTCGACAAGTTAAACACGTTGAAAAATATTCTCATTTATCCAAAAACAACTGCGTAATTAAAGCTGTTGGAATAAAAGTTCTGAAAAAATGCTTGACTCGTTTGGATGGCCTGTATGCCAAATTAATTGTCCCGTAAAAGTGGTGAAATTTTCACAAGATTGTGTTCTTTGCACCACTAACCCGCAATTCCCCAATCTCGTCAAGCACATGCTTGATACAGTCTAGTTCATTAGCGATGTGAACATAGATCAACATACTCAATGTATAAGAGGGTTTTGAGATATATATATAGAGAGAGAAAGAGTGGCGACCTTATTATAAATAGAAGATACTGCAAGTGTGATGATATATGTGAAAGCCGCGGAAGAGTAAAGTAGTCATTATATGTCCCACTGCTTCTTGACTCCCCTGTAGCTCATGCCTTTCTTCGATTCACATACCATATAATATAGTATGACAAAGTGAGCCAGTAAAGTTTCGGGAAAATCGCTGCGTTACTCATCTTATGTGCATCCTAGCTTTCGTTGATTAGTACTTACACTTTCGAGGTAAAGCGAATAGATTGAAGTTATGGAGATATGTGCATTCTGTTTCTAGATGTATGAGCGATTATTTATAGTATTTTACGCTCCTTCCAAAAATGTAACGCAAATTTGTTGTGTTCTTGTTTTTGTTTTCTCAGCTAAACGGAACAAGTACTCGGCGTGAAAATATTGCCGACAATTCTGGCCTAAGAGCAGCGTATCTGGTAAGAAAGATAGAGTAGTTAAATAAAGCCTTGTTGGGCAGTCAATATATCTAGCTTAAGATTAATTTATCGATCTTTGCTCTACATTTACTTTAAGGCATTCAGAAAGTTTAATGACACTGACGAGATGCTTCCTGGGTTAAACTTAACAGGAGACCAGCTGTTTTTCCTTTCAAATGCTATGGTAAGTTTTACTTTGATATTCTTTGTACATTCAGTAAATAATATTCACCAAATGGCGATAATTCTAATCTCGACGGCAGGATTTGGTGCTAGATCCAGCTGCACATTTCAAAATCCACTCCTTGGAAGAAGGTGACTTTTAGCACTCCTTGCCATTACAGTTAAGTCGAAAGAAAAAAGCATATTCTACCACAAGGGAAAACATTTCATACTTCCATATGAAGGCCAGATATTTTCACACACTCTGTTTCCCTTCATAACACTCTGTTTCCTTAGATAATTAAGGATATATGTGCAGAATATTTCACTTCACTCAGCAATGTTGCTACAAACTGCATGGGGATCTGGGTCCTTCGTCAGGCTGCTAGTGAACAGCTATCTGCCAGAGTTCCCTTTTGTCATGTCCCTTCTGGCCATGTGACATCAAATAAACTAATTTGATTTGATTTGTTTCGTTTCTTGGCAAAGAGTAATACGCCAATGAAACTGCAGGGATATAACAAGTAGAATGCGGAATACTCTAAGCAGCTTAAGAACACTTTAGCACATATTAAGTGTACTTTGCGTTTAATAATATGTTGAACTCTGCCGCGGTCCTTTCCCTAGTTTGGCCAGTATCGCGTACAAACTATATTTCAATATAGTATTAGTTAAGTCTACATATCAGCCAAGTTTTTATTATACCTTTTTAATGCAACTACAAAATTAGTTTTTTTTAGAGTACTATTCCTGATGGTCTATAAAAAAAAACATTAAACGCATACCGATGACAGAGAAGATGTGATGTATTAAACATACTGCTCATCTCTTCATGTCAATGGTCTGGCATACCTTCTAGAAAAAATTTATTACAATACAAGCATTGCCCCTTATTGAAATTCGAGAGTGAAATGTCAATTTCACAGGCAACAAAAACTGTAAGAAATCGCAACATAATGAGCAAGATAGCCTTCGATTAGCAGTATGTTCTTCGCTACGTTTCAGAACACAGCTCTTAGTCGCCCGCTTCCGGTTTAAGCGGCATTTCCGTCGGCGTCAGCGTCGACTTCAGCGTCGGCATCGGCGTCGGCGTCGGCGTAATGCGAGCGCTGCATTCTGGGACAATTTCCCGCTAAATTTCCCGGCGTAATTTTTCCGCTGCATTTAGTGGGGAAATTCACGTCACGTGACCTCAAAACCCATTCCATTTTCCGCTTGATTTGGCAGAAAAACGTTTTCCTAAATTTTTTCGCTATATTTAGCGGAAAATTTAGCAAAGGACTTTCCGCTAAATAAGAGGGCAGAAGGCCAGGAAGAGGGGAGGCATGGAGGAGGAAGAGGAGGTGCATACATTCCCCTCCGTACCCTTCCCTCCCCCTCCTCAAAAGCTGAGCTTTAATACGTCGTTACAAAAGACTTGTAAACATCTATATTTTTTTTACTTTTTTTAGGTCTGGTGCAATAATATTAGGGAAGGGAGGCTGCGATATGATGTAAAATATGACCCCCACAGCCCTGGCAAGTTTCGGTGAGTTAATGTTTGTTTGATCGATTCGATATCCTCAAAGATAATTCCATATGTCACTATAACGAGCACTGTAATGACACGACATTCTCCGTTGCATTTGCGAAAGTTTATTCAGTTTTGTTTATCGTACGACTGAAGTTTTTCACAAACGGAAAGATGTAAAACAAGGCATATTTGAACATGCAACACACTGAAAAACCCCAGCGACGAGGGGACGCAAAGAAGTGTAACAGGTTCCCAACCATCTCTTGATTGTTTTCCCATTTTTGGCGTCTCCTCGTCTCCATGGCTTTCCAGTATGTTCGGTCACGAGCTCCACCGCTCAATAATCCTTATCTCTCAATGTTTGAAGTCAGTTTTGCCTGAACGTCATTCCAGAATCTTTATGCTTCAGACATAGCAGAGGGACACCCGTAAATTTTGTATTTCGTACTGTACAGTCAGTCATTCTTATATATGTGTAATAGAAAAGACACTCCTAGGTATATTGAAAGTAGCGAAAGCGCACAATAAAGACGAATACGAAGACGGATATGCAAACAGGACGATCGCTGACTATAGACAAACTTTTTTATTGGAAAGAATAGAAACAGCAAAATAAAACCACAAAAGCCACAAATACTACAAATGTGACTAGTCATCAATGACTCGGCCACTACACTTGTCAATAAAGTTCACTACCTTTTTGTGAAGGAAAAGTGAGGGCTGACTGACACGCTTATCAGGACATTCCTTCTATATTATGTAAGCCTCCAGTACCTCCTTTGCCACCTTTTTTTTACCTCTCCCAACGATTGTGGTGCCTTGAAAGTTGGGAATGCAGCGGCAGTCTCTGCAATATATGTATAAATGGGCTCCTGTTGTTGGACGCAGTGATAAAGCATGTTCAGGCAACCGTTCATTCAAGCACCTTCCGGTCTGGCCTATGTAAACCTTACCGCAGCCCAGTCGAATTTTATAGATCACGCCCACCACACATTCCACGTATTTGTTCACGTGCTTCACTGTGCATTTCCGCTTATCTTTGCGTTGTCTTTTATCCTCGGACATAGTTGAGCCAGTTTACGTGGTGCTAAGAATACCAGAGGCACATCAAACCTTTCCGCCACTTTTTTTTATATTGTGTGACACCCTGTGTAAGTATGGCATCACGTGGGGTCTTGCTTTCTTTTTTTGCTTGTCCTTTTGGCTATTGCCCCTGAACTTCTTCACAAGTTTCTCAGCCACTGCGAGCATAAGGGAAGTAGGATACCCTGCGCTTCCAAGTCTCTTGACCTGACTACAGAGGCTGTCGTGCATGGCATGGTGACATGACTTTCCAATTGCCGTCTCTAGACATGACGACGCAATGCTCCATTTCACCAACTTCGAATGCGCCGAATCATAGGGGAGGATTCCCTTCTGGGTACGCCGTTTGTAACCCCAGCACACGTGTTCCCCTGTGAATTGCATTCGCAAATTCAGAAACTGTAGAAACGCTCCATCCTGGCGTTCAAAGGTGAACTTCAGGCCTCTAGAACTTTCTTTAAACACGCTTCATCACATCTTCAACAACTTCACATAGAGTAAGGTTTTCACAGTTTTGCAAAATCACTAAATAATCGTCTACGTGCATAAACAACTTGGTCACAGGTTGGCCTTTCAAGGCATTCTCAATGGCTCGGTCATACTTAACCAAAAAAAATATCAGAAAGCACTGGGGCAGCACAGGAACCAATGCAGATACCAGCTCTCTGCACGTAATGGCGGCCGCCAAAAAGAATAAAAGTCGACTCCAAGTAAAATTTTAAAAGTTCCAAAAAACCATCAACACTCACACCACAGGCGTTTTGGAAACCAACCACGCCGTTTCTCTTAATACATTCACGTACTGCCTCAAATATTCTTGGTGGGGGATAGAGTAATAAAGATCCTCTACGTCTATAGAAAACGCCACGGCATCCCCTGGAACATTTTTCCTAAGAAACTCCACCACTGATTGAGAATTTTTTACCAAAAAGGGGTCACTGATATCTACAGCACTCAAGTGCGCCTCCAAATAGACGCTAAGCTGTTTTTGCCACGATCCCCTTCCCGTGACGATTGCTCGAAACGGCGTATTAGGCTTATGGGTTTTTGCGGAGAAAAAAAAAAAACATCAAGATGCGTGATCTTGCATTTCTGTACTTTCTTTTCCAACGTTGCAAGCTCAAGACCATTGCACAATTTGAGCGCAGACGTTTTGAGCTTTTTGGGTTCAAGATGAGACAGCTTTAAGTTCTTCCGGGTCGCGTTCCTAGACCTGAATTCCATCATGTCTATTGGAAGCGCCACGAGCCCTCCCTCTTTGTCTGCCTCTAATAGGCTTAAGTTATTGCTCTGGAAAAACGAAACGACTTCGTTTAGCCTGCCCCCATTATGTGTCTGGGCCTTTATCGAGGTACACCGTAACAGGCAATCCACACCCTCCAAAACGCATCTCTCCCGTTCTTCATCTGGCGCATTATCGGAAACAGCCCGCACCTCGGCTATTGTTACGTGATGCCATACTTACACAGGGTGTCACACAATACAATGAAAGTGGCGGAAAGGTTCGAGGTACCTCTGGTATTCTCACCACCACGTAAACTGGCTCAACTATGTCCGAGGATAAAAGAAAAAGGCAAAGTGAAGTGAAGTGCACAGTGAAGCACGTAGACAAATATGTGGAATGTGCGGTGGGCGTGATCTATAAAATTCCATTGGGCTGCGGCGAGGTTTACATAGACCACACCGGCAGGTGCTTGAATGAACGGTTGCGTGAACATGCTTTATCACTGCATTCAACAACAGGAGCCCATTTACACAAACATTGCAGAGATTGCCCGCTGCATCCCCAACTTTCAAGGCACTACAATCGTTGGTAGAGGTAAAAAAAAGGTGGCGAGGGAGGTACTGGAGGCTTACATGATAACGAAGGAATGTCCTGATAAGTGTGTCAGTCCGCCCTCACCTTTCCTTCACAAAAAGGAAGTGGACTTTATTGACACGTGTGGTCTCCGAGTCATTGATGACTAGTCACATTTGTAGCATTTGTGGCTTTTGCTGGTTTTATTTTGCTGTTTCTATTTTTTACAATAAAAAAATCGATTGATAGTCAGCGCTCGTCCTGTTTGCATCTCCGTCTTCGTATTCGTCTTTATTGCGCGCTTTCACTACTTTCAACATGCGTAACCAAATCGCCTGCATCGCAACATTAGTCCTAGGTATAATACTGCCGACGTTTCACAAAACCGCAGAGTTAGTCTGCTGGGAAATTCTCATTTTTTCAGCCGCTTCCCAAGCGGTATTCATGTAGTTATGTTTCTTCAAGTTTTTAAACATCTGTGCTTTGAACGTGTAACCTGCATAACATACTAAAACAAATCCTTTTTGAACATGGTTAAAATTGCGCGCAAATAGAAAGGAACTGTCAAGAGGGAAGAGAGAAGAGACACGCGCTTGTCTGTTCTCATTTCCGTCTTCACTGTTCCTTTCTATTTGTTCTCAATGTTAACCATATTCAATCATTACCAACTAGCACAAATAACCACTTTAGCAAATCCCTTTTTTAATTCTGTTTTGTTTTATATATATATAGCTTAATTTAGAAGGTATGACTTAGACAGCTTAACAAGGGCCTCAATAAATCCTCATTGCTTAGCCACAATAAAATCTGTATCTCAACGCTTGCTTTTATTAGCCTTCTGTATGGCTCATATTATCACGAATAACTGATGATGAGGTGACGAATGTACAGAAACTAAACGTTTAATTTGGCTAAATTATGCCAAAAAAATATACAAAGAAGTAGCGTCACAGATGTCGAAGGTCGGCGGAGTAGCACGATCCCTCGCAATAGTGACACTGACTCCGGGCCGCCACGCAGAGCATCTTTTGTACCAGCGTGGGTTTCTGGAACATTCGACGCAGAACGTTAAGCGCGTAGAACGTTCGTAACTCTATGAGATGACAAGGCTCTTGAACTTACGAGAATGTCATGTTGAAAGGATAAATAAAAGAGGAGTCCGATCCCTGTAATCGAATCTGGAGCCTCCGAGCGATAGCCAAACGCGGTAACCATTCGGCCACGTACGCGTTAGTTCGGCGACGAGCGTGACATTACTCCCCCCTTTTAAAAGCGCATCGTCTCGATGCGACGTGCCAGGAAACAAAACAGCAAAATAAACGCAAATAATGTCGCACTACGGAAGCTTGTAAAACACGGCCCTATCGAGCGTAGTACAAGAATCCAATTCATAGTCTTATTGACCGTAGTACGGTTTGAGACGCGCGACGCGGACGACTTCCGGTCCTGGAGGGCGGTATGATGTAGTCAATGTTCCGTCGGGCATAAACTTGTAGTTTAGATCACCGAAACGGCAAAGCAGTTTGTAGGGTACGAAGTGGCGTTTGAACAGCTTGTTGAGACCGCAACGGCGCATAGGTTGCCACACCCACACTCTGTCTCCGCACTGAAAGTAGACGTCCCGACGACGAACGCTGTAGCGGCCAGCATCGACACGTCGCTGGTCTTAAATCCGGAGTCGGGCGAGCTGGCAGACTTCTTCGGCCCTTTGCACTACCACTTGAGCGTCGCTCCCATCGTTAGTTGACTCGTGGGGCAGCGAAGCGCACAGCATTGTTGCTAATTTCCGACCATGTACTAGCTGTAAGTGTATACCTCCGCTGGTCTCTTGAAGCGCAGTGTTGTAGGCGAACGTGACGTAGGGCAACACAACCTGTCACGTCTTGCGCTCTACGTCCATGAACAATGAGATCACGTGACTGTTTTGTTAAGCCGCTTCGTCAGCTCGTTAATCTGCGGGTGGTAGGCCGTGGTGCGACGATGGCTAGTCTGGCTGTGCTGAAGAATTTCTTGCGTCAGCTGCACCATGAGCGATAATCCCCGAAGTGTAATAAGGACTTGAGAAGCGCTATGTCGTAGGACGACGGACTCGACGAAAAACTTGACGAGTTCCACAGCAGTCCGCGGCGAAAGG